TCTGTTTATCTGTCCAGAAATGTCGGTTGCTGTATATAAATACTGAAAGCCTGGCCTTTTCGATCGTGGAACTACCCGCAGCAATATACTACAGGGATCCCTATCGTGACAGATTGAGACACGGATGGACTTGTCGCGTGCTTAATGGAGAGGTAGAGATTGCTATTGATGCTCCAGTAGTGCATTATATCTGGCGACTGCAACATTTACTTACCTGCATGTCGATCTATCATATCCGACAGGTGATCCCATCAGTACGGGCTGGGTACACCCCGATCCCATCGAATATTTGATAAACATATAGAGTATTAAATATAGACTAAAGCAATAACTAATTATATAATTTACGAGACGAATCTTTTAAGCCTAATTAGTATATGATTTGACAATATAATGTTACGGTAACACATGTGCTAATAACGGATTAATTATGCTTAATAAATTTATCTCTAATTAGCTCATGATTTGTATACATGTGCTAATAACGAATTAATTAGATTTAATAAATTCATCTCGGGATTACTGACGGAATTTATTTTTTATTAGTATTCGAACACCTCATACGACACCGAAACTTTAAAGTAGAGTGGTATACACTGATACTGACCATGCATCGATGCACGAAAAGGACCGCCGATGGACAGACCAAATTAAGGGGTTGTTTGGTTATTTAGTCGCTCCTAAAATTCATGTCACATCGAATGTTTAGATGAGCATTAAATATAGAGTAATGACAAATCCAATTACATAGACGGAGGCTAATTTGCGAGACGAATTTTTTAGACCTAATTAATCCGACATTAGCACATTTACTGTAGCACCACGTCAAATCGTGGACTAATTAGGCTTAAAAGATTCGTCTCGCAAATTAGTCGTAAGTTGTGCAATTAGTTTCGTAATTAGTCTATATTTAATACTCTATGTATGTGCCAAATATTCGATGTGACAGAAATTTTAGGAGGTCCTGCAGGAACCAAACAGGCCCTGAGACTGTCTCCAGCAGGCAACCCATTACGCGACTTATACCAAAAATGCATGGTGAACAGTAAAAACCCCTCTCCAATAGAGTAGGCAATCAGACTGCATTTTGCGTGGGAGGAGAGAGGAAAGGCAAATAAGCGTCCTCCCGATGCACGACCCAAATCTCTGCCGCGGAGGGCACGGCCGTGGGGCGCAGAGACGAGGAGACGACGGGCGGGTTGGGTGGCGTGCTGAGGTGCACCGGCGCGTGGCCGGACCCTGAGCCAGGCTGGGCGTGCCCAGCAGCAATGAGAGTCATCATGCGGCCAAGAGAGAAAAGGGAGAGAAGGAGAGAGAGAAGGCAAGGCGGAGGGGGAAAGAGAGGGAGAGCGAGCCGGGCGCAGGGCGGCGGTGGCCGCGGCGGCGAAGTGGGGCTCCAGCCGCCATCGCACCCATCCTCCTCTTCCGAGCACCCCCATCGAGGTGGAGCGGGCCCACTTTGTCGGCGCGACCGAGCAGCCGAAGGTGGAGCGGCCCGACGCCGAAGCGCGGCGCATCCCGAGCGGGTGTCGCCTCTTCCTTCTTCCCATCTACCGTCCCGTCCCGATCCATGCGCAACAAAAAGGTCGTCCGCCACTCGAGATCCAGCACCCATGGCCTCGGCAGGCGCAGCTGCCGGGCAAGGAGGAGGCGTAGCCGCAGGGCTTCCTCCGCCGGTACCCCTCGCCACCGCCCACCGCCCCTGTACCGGCCATCACCTCCTCCACCGCGCATCGTCTCCGCCGCCATCCCCTCCCCCGCTGATCGCCTCCAACACCGGCGCTCAACCTCTTCTCCACCGTACCGACCCCTCCCTCCAGCGGTAGACGGGGAGAGGGAAGGAGCGGGCTCGGACTGTGGCAGCACGGGCAGGGAGACGGAGGCAGGAAGAGTGGAGGAGGAAAGGGAGAGAAGGAGAGGGAGGGCAGCGGCGGCGGCTTCGAGCTCCGGCGGTCGCTCGGATGGCGGCGCCGACGGAGGAAGATAAGATTTGAGTTCGCTATTGGAGAAGATAAAATTTGGGTGCGTGACCTTCCTGTCGTATGTGACCCAAACCACGGAATGGGTGCTGTGTTTGGGTATGTGTTGTTAGAGATAGGCTAAGTCGTTTAATTATCGATCTGCGCAGGATAATTCCCACGAGTAATAACAATCACATCACAGTAAATGGAACAAGCGAAAAAACACGTATTGACTTTTTTTTATGGAATATACAATACAGACATGAACACGAACAGTAGACTACTACATACACGTACGAACAGGGTGGTGAAGGGCGAGGACGTTACAAAACAGGCAGAAGAATTTTACCACCACCAGCTACTGCATTACAATTCGCCAAATCCTTATTTATTTTCCACACGGACGGACGGTCCCCCAACCCATCCCCAAGGTTCGATGCCCTTCGTCTTGCTTGATCCGGTGACGAGATCGATCGCCGTAGCAGTAGCACACCACGCACCATCGTTGGAGGAGCCTGTTGGACGGACGACGACGACGAACGGAGCCGCGAACACCGGCTACTGCATGGAGCACTCGGCGGGGAGGCCCTGCGGGTAGCGCTTGGGGTCGGTGCAGTAGTTGTAGATCATGTACTTGCGCTGCACCCACCGCATCCGCTGCTGCAGCGTGAGGTCCAGCTCCTGGTTGTACCAGTCCCCGGCGGCCGCGCCGGCGGCTCCGGCGGCAGCGCCCTCGGTGCCGACGGCGGCGGCGCCGCAGCGCGTCTTGCCGCCCGCGACGGCGACGCAGGCGTCGGCCCTGAATCCCCGGTAGGAGGAGGAGAACGGGGCGTGGGACCAGTCCGTCTTGACGCGGCCGCCCTGCGTGGCCCAGTCGTCGGCGTTCCACAGGCTGGAGTAGAGCCGCATCGGCTGGTTCTTGGGGAACGCCACCCCCTTGCTCTCCAGGTTCTGGAAGTCCCTGATCGGCATGTCGTCCACCATGAAGCTGCACGCACGCATGGCAATATGGCATGATCGGGGTCAATGTCAATCGACAGCTCGAGACACTGATCAAAATCAAAACAAAATGCAGACACTCTTACATGATGTGTTTGGGGTTCCAGAGGATGGAGTAGGTATGGAAGTCGTTGGTGGGGTCGAACCAGAGGCGGAACTGCTGCTCCCTCTGCCCCTGGCCCTGGGTGAACACGTTGGTGTGCAGCGTGTACGGCTCGCCGGAGACGTTGCCGAGGAACTCGAAGTCGATCTCGTCGTGCGTGCTGCCCTGCGACGACAGGTAGTAGGCGGTGACGGTGCCCGCCGAGTTCCCCGGCACCAGCTTCAGCTGCATGTCGATCTTGCCGAACAGGTACTCGTGCCTGGACTGGAACCCGGACCCGGAGGTCCGGTCCAGCGTGAGAGTCAGGAGCTGGCCATTGTCCAGGATGTTCCCCCGCCCGTCGCCCCACGTGATGTCGAACTCCTGGTTGAAGTTGGCCGCCGACACGGCGAAGGCGGCGGAGTAGGCTAGCAGTACGCCCAGCAGCAAGGACACACGACGAGACGCCATGACCGGTCACTCGAGACCTCCTCACTCAGCTATAGCCTAACCAGCTACGCAAGCAGAGACAGGACACTACACTAATCACTAGCTAGAACTAGGATCAAGCAGGTTGCGAGGTGCTCGATTGGATCAGCTGGAGCGAGATGATCGAGCTTGTGCTTTGTGAGCGGAGGAGGCGAGGGGGTTTTTATAGGGAGAGGGTCGTTGACTGATTTATTGTGATTGGCTGAAAAAGTATCACTTACAAGCGAAGCGAAGAATGGGAATGGCGTGCCGCGCGGATGGTGCCGGGAAGCAGTGTATGTACTGCGCCTGCCCGGCTGCCCAGCCGTGTGATCTGGTGTGTGTGAGGTTATGCGTGTGAGTTGGCGCCAGCCATGCAGAGTAGTAGTCAGGAGTCCGGAGATGGGAGGAGGGAGACAGGGCAGGGGCGCGCAGTACGCACGCTGCGGCGGGGCAGAGAGCGGCTTGATGAGGGGCAGCCGGCAGGGCCGCAGGGGAGGAGGCCACGGCGACTCAGTGACGGCACGCGCACAGAGCCTAGATATTTCCTGGAAGTCGACCGGGACGTGCAGCGAATTCCTTCATGGTGCATCGGCCCGTTTGTTCTCGCCACCTGGGCTCTCACCTCGCAAATGGTTAATGGGTAGCTCATGTGCTGGCGTTGCTAACGTGCTGGCGCTGCTAAGTACTGTACGTCTACAACTTCTTGTCGTATTGTGGTCATTTAAGGACCAAATTACATAATACGTTTTTTAATGAAAAAATCACACAATACTTTACAGCAAGTCAAATAAGCTTACAGCTAAATATTTGATAAACCAAATTGCCTTGAATATAGAGTAGCTAACCAAAAGCGATTAAAATTCTGATTTGGTTATTGCATTACACCAACTGGATCAGTACCTTAGAGACAACTCCAGTTCAGTACCTTATATACTAACAAGAGCTATATAGATTTTACAGTCAGGCCAATTGTTTCCAGCCAGCCACCGGTACAGCCGTACAGGTACCGTTCTCCAGGTTCAATGCTGATTAACTACTTCAGAAAATACTAATAAAACCCAAACTAAGAGCATCTTCCCCAAAACATGATTTTTTTCTAACTCCTAAATTGATATTGAGAGAAATAAATAAGATCATATCCAATAATTTCCTATAATTAGCTCCCAAAATCCTAAAACTTTGGTCCAACAGTCCTCTCCGTGGCCTGGGCGGGGCTCTTCGAGCGCTACCGCCATGGGTACGCCGTCCGCCGGCGGGCTCGGCTGCTTCGTCCGTTCGTCGTGGCTAGCACAGAAAATCAACGTGGGCACGTTCGACTACCTGTATTGGCTGCTCGTCGTGCTCAGCACCATCAACCTGCTCGTCTTCGTTCGAGACGCAGACCACAGTTGCTGTTCAGGTTCGCGGCAGCCTGCGCAACTACGACGCGGCCGAGCACCAGCACGAGCAGGCACTGGCGACTTTGGATTCAATCGCTGTCCGAGAAGATGCGGCCCAGCGAGTCCCCCGAGGCCGCCGCGGCGCGCGCCGGCCGAGAGGAGCTCGGCGCCCGCGCCCGCGTTCATATCCTCGGCGGGGACGGCGCGCGTGTGGAGGAGCGGGAGTCCGCGTCCAACCCGGGCCTCGCCAATCGGTACGTGCTCCACGCGGTCGACGACGAGGTGGTCGACGGCCTGCCCGAGGACGGGAGTTCGAGACCGAGGAGACCGGCGAGGACGACGGGGACGTCGACGCCATCACCGTGAAGCGCCACTACTGGGATTGGATCGACGACGACGGTGACAGTGAGCGCAAGGAGGTTGGGCTGCTCTGCTCCGTCGCTGAGAATTGCTGGACGAACTGCGCAGCGGTCGAGCAGGAGATGTCGGGCGGGAACGAGTCACGGGAAGGAGACGGTGGCGCGGGGAAACTCCGGATGCGCGCTCGCAGGCCACGCGTATATTTGCGCATAAGTGACGGTGATTTTGCAAATGCCAAAATACGGAGAAGGGATATGGTACCGTTGGAGATTGAGTTTTTCTTATTTTTCCAAAAAAACATGGATTGAGAAGGGATATGGGGCATTTTTGAAGATGCTCTAAAGCTAGCTCATAAAAACAACAATTTGCAACCTAGAAAATCACTCTGAACCCGTAACACCTACAAAGAACATCATAAAAATGCCTTTTACTCTCAACACCCAAACTGGGATCACAGTGAGAAAAATCCAGCATCATAACCAGAGTATTAGATATGTGGCTCTCGGGTCTTAAATCCTAGATAGAAGTTCTGGAACTCCACTCTTTGAACAAAATTACATGTTTATGGTTCTTCCTTGTACAAAATTAAGTTTCATGCAACAGGCAGTTGGTTCAATATGCATCAGTTTACATATTACAGATATGCTCAGTTCCCAGGTGCATGGCTCAAGAGATAAACATATATGCAAAAGATACACATTTCTTAACAAATGTATGCAAAAGAATACACATTCCTTGCTATCTCACATTTCTTAACAAATGTAAGCAAAAGAATACACATTTCTTAACAAAAGAATACAATGATTGTCACATAACTAACATGAAAGTAACCCAATTAGATGCTGGGCTAAGGGCTAACTCCTTATCTTCAGTTTTCAGTCCAGAATTCAGATTCACAAAAGGAAAATCATCCATGAAAAAAGAACGAGAAGCTAGTTGTGCTACCCACTACCCACACTTGTTACGCTATACACATTTGCACTGAATTCAGTGAGTGAATATTTCAAGAGTGACTAACTAACTATAAAAGAAGAGTTGCCATGAAGGAGAAACAGGCACCAAAGCATTCAGTGCAGAAACAGTCTTAATGCCATAGATGAGGCATGACCGTTAACAGATTATTTTCTTACATTTTCCTATAAAAATCACTTGTTGAGTGGCACACTATAGGCTACCAAGCAATTGATAAACGATTGACACACAGTTTCTTCTATTTATGTAGTGCGTCAAGAATATATCTACGTTTTACGTTCTTGAACCCCTCTGTGCTTATGCAAGCACTCACCAATACAATGTTCTCAAGCTGAAGACGAGTTCAGGTGTTCAGAAGATGCGACAGATACTAGACTCATGTAAGCAACAACTAGTGTCTCCCATCCAAGATTTAGAAGAAATCTTTTTTCACATGAAGGAGTCCAATAGCAAATCACAGACTCTTACTACTCCCATCTAAGATTCCAATCACCAGAGGAAGGAGCCAAGCGAGCGTACCTGCGGGGAGACTCGACGGGGACGGGAGGAGTGGCGGCAGAGGGGGATCTCGACGGCGCAGCGACGGAGAGGTTTGAGCCGCGGGGCGCACCACGGGGAGTAAGGAGCCACGCCGCGGGGCGCGCTGCAGGGAGGGAGGAGCCGCGCCCCGAGGCTGCCTCAACTCGCGGCGGCGGAGGGCCAAGGCCGGAAGGGTGGCGGCGTTGCGGAGGAACCCGCAGGCGGCGGGGGGTCACGGGTTGACCCTTAGGGTCGATTGGGGTCGACCCGCTCCGAACCAGACGTCCAAACTAGGAGCGGATTGTATCTGATAATGGGTCAAACCCCCCCTTGCAGTTTGAAGCACTCTGTTGTACACTTGTACTCGTGATATGCTTGGTTTGTAAAAGGCGTGATATACTATGTCAGGAAACTACTACGTTGGTAATTTCCCCGTCGTAGTTTCCATACAATTATTATGTGTCACCAGGGTTAACCTAGTGTTACGTAAGAAAACATAAGAAATTCTTAACGCGTTATTAAGTTTAGAGTTAAATGCATCAACAACCTCTGAATTTGTTATACGGTGTCACTTAGCACCACAAACTTTAAAAATTCATTTCTGAACCTTTAAACTTGTTAAGTGGTGCACCGTATATCCTTAAACTTGTAAATAAAAGGTGCATCGTAGGTCCATTTGTGGATCATAAAGACCACTGTGGTGTACCACTTAATAAATTTAGAGGCTTAAAAATACATTTTTAAAGTTCGTGAACCAAAGTATCACCCTGACAGGTTCAGGAGCCAGTCATACATTGAACTCTTAAGTTTAAATTATAATGTCCCATGCTAGAGATACAAGACAGGTTCTTCATAAGCCAACTTACAAGTTTATGAACAAGTCCCTATCTTATACCATTCCACCAAAGTCGAACTTAAAACCACATATGTATGGAGCCGGGAAAAAAAGGAACAAAATTCACTGCAGTGTAGCGCCCTGTTAATTTAGCTTATATACCGTATTTTTTTAATCAACAAATTTTATTTTTTTCTCACAATAAATCAGTCAAAACACTACTTGCAGCCACGGCTGGCTGGGCTGTTGGCTCAAATGAAACAGTCCGAGTTGGAGAGTATCCTGAGTACACGTAACAGTAGGCATTGATGTTGTTTCAGGCTTATATTATTGTGGACGTGATGGAACTCACTTAAAAAACATACCCTGCTGGTAGCGTGATAAAAGCTGAAACTTGATCCATGACTTTTGACAGGTAATAATAATATAATATCCTGACATGCTATGGTTACTACTCCACTACAGTGCGTACAACAGTCATGACAGTCATCGCAATGGCATTTTATATCACGCATTGGTGCCTGTAGTTGACATTGTGGACATGGTGGCACTCACAAAAGAAGCATACCTTCGGTACGAACCGTAGAGGCGGTTGGAACCAGCTACCACATCGGCGTGTCCGTAGAACTGCATCTCCGGGGTAAACAGAACTTCACCATCATGTGAATGTAAATCAGTAAATGTGAATGTGAATGGTGTGGTCCAGCACGCAGCAAACCCTAAGCTAGCCACCATTTTCGTCATGGACTTCACACACGAAAGTATGGTTCCTCCGTGCCCTGTTTTGAGTAGTTTCTACTTTGTTCAGCACACCAGCTCTGCTCGCTAGAGATTTCTGCGTTCCACAGCCAGAGTGAGTGCTAGGCTGCTAGCTCCTGCCTCTCGGACCAGTGAACCGAACGATGGAAGAAAGATCCTGCGTGTGCGATGTTTGAAAGTTATATCCACGTGGCACGGGTGGTTGAGGAGCTTGAAGCGCGCGGTGAGATGAGCATGAGCTAGTACCGCACGCAATACATCTCCCGATCCCACATTGGATACGTGCGTGCGGTGCGTGGATGCACTTTACTACCCGAACCACCACGGATCATCTTGGTTAAGCATGAAGTAGCGATGCACGGCTAGCATTATCTCACCGGACGACTGTACCGTACGTACGTATATATACCTTGTCAGTCATGTTGGTGGGCCGTACGTGTGACATAATCCTCTTTCCCGTGCAAAAGGTACGGTGGTCGATCCATTCATCCGAGGGGCACTGCTACACTCCGAGAGCAAAAACAACCTCCTCCAAGTGACCCGTGGATCGTATCGGATCGGATCATTCACGAATCCTACGGCCCAACGCACGGGACGCGCGCGTCTATCGTCTATCCGTATGTGTGGCTGTCCTCTACGTAGCCAACACCGGAAAACCCAAGCCGAGACTCCGGAGAACCCTCCTCGTCTGATGAAAAGTTGTAGGGATGAAAACGAATATATACGATATTGTTGCCGATATTTCGGTAATTTCGAAAACGATAGTAGTCAATCGGAAAATACATTGATAACGATCGGAACCCATGAGAACGATATTTTCAAAAACGATAAACACGACAAACCGTAGAACATGAGAAGATCTATATAACTCAACCTATCCCACGTGATAATAATAAATAAACTACAATTGACAAGATCACGCAAACTAAAACCACACAGTTCACATAATCTTAGGTCTTAAACAATGGTGAGAGCGCTCGTCGCCCCAGAGTCCGATCGTGTACGTGGTGACTGGCTAGAGTTACGGGTGCAGTATGTGATTGTTGGCTGATTGCCTTCTTGTTCCTATACACATGAAATGCTTTCCATATAGTTCCTTTCCAAAAAAAATTACCTTATATGCTTGCATGTGCAGGTGGATGGGCATGCTTAGATGTGGGCCAATTGGACCTAAAGTATGTGTTGTATCGGTAATTACCGATGGTAAATTATTGGTTAAATACAGCAATCTTTGAAAACGATCGGAAGAGGACAAAATCATTTTTGCTTTCGTTTTTAATATTTTTACCATTATCGTTTTCATTTTTCCGATTACCGCTACCATTTCCGTTTAGGCCTAAAAATAGGGGAAAATACTCGAAAACGATTTCAGAAAATCGAAGATTATCATTTTCGTTTTCATCCCTGCAAAGTTGAAACCCTCGGACGACACGGCTAAACAAGGCCGAAAATAAAATGCAACTCCGTAGTAGGCAGCAGCAGCTAGCGCGGCACACACACTGGTAGCGTTCCGTACGAGTACGAGTACATGGTGCCACGGGGACGTGGAGCCCGGCCATAAACGGACGGGGTCAGGCATGCAGCGGCATGGACAGGATGGGCGGCGTATGGGAGCCATACCGACGGATGGATCGGATGGATTTGCAGTACAACAGGTAGCCACTAGCACTGATTGGGTCATTGACACGCGGGCCACTCGGCCAGATTTGCCAAGAGAGGACGTAGATCCATAGCCAGGGCGGTAGAAGAATCCATCGAGCCCGGGAATGAAAATACGTGGTCCAGAGTAGATTAGTTGCCTTCGATAATATACCCATAGTTAGTAGTGCTTTTCATCGCTCCAGTACTGTACTCTTGCCGTTGTTTTTTGTCTGTAGTTGTTGAGATCGTCTGCTAGTAGGGAAGGTGAATGATGTGTCGT